CATCACTTCTACTTTCTTCTCAATCACAAAACTTGGCGGAGAAAAAGAGGAATCTCTACTAACCACAAGCGTATTGTCAAATGCAGGTGATGATGCGGCAGTAGTCCTCGTCATCACCAAAAGTGTTATTGATAACTTTTAGGCGACGTTAAGCGATATTCTAAATTCGGTAGACATAGGTAACGGTTAACATGACAAAGCTATTGTAGAAGTATTCTTCTTGTTTATTGCTTTCTCTTGCTTATTGTAGAAGTTTTAAATCTTGCGATGTCACAAAAACGATGAATGGAGAAGTCACAACTCATTGCATACGGACCTGTCGTGCACTACGTACACGATCATGAAGTTTCAGTGACAATATAGAACATATGCAAAGGAATGAAATGTTGACAGGTCGCTAAAGCTTCGAAGTAAGTGCTAACAATGAAAAGTCTGAAACGCGCTGTGCAGTAGCTCTTCACCGTGCTACCTTACTGGGTCCATTGGTTTTCCTATCATCGCTACAAGATAGATAAATGTTTATAAATAACAATAGCATATATTGATTATTTTGCTAAGGATGAGGAGCAATGACAAAATCCACGAAGTCGCATGCGAAACACTCAGCCAAGTTTGCACGTTAAAAGTTACAGATTTGGGAGAAGAACCATTAATATGTCAGTGTTATTTGAACGAAATAGAGCTAATAGAGCATCTTCGAAGCAATCATTGCGTTACCACAATTATGGAATACGAACAATGTGTGTAGTGGTGGAGGTAGGTGATGCCTACTTGATGACAATTTTGAGCACTCGACGAGCGATGTCGACTCCGTCTTCATTAAATACCACTGGAATGAGAATCTTCGCTGTGTGGTTGCCGTGAATGAAAGGAAAGCCGTGCACACTGATTTAGAACCAGTGAAGAGTTTTTACTCTTTAGTTCATGTGCTAAATTAAGCGACTTTGTCATCGCAGCTGGAATTTCGAATTACATGAAGACACCAATAAAAAGAAATCAAATGAGTGCACGGAATTACATGGCCCCTTGAGTTGTCTCTAGGACAGAAAATAACGACAGAAGATTTATGATTTAATTGGAAGGTGACAGTAGATGCCTAAGGTGAATCTTTTGCATTGTGGTGTATCATCGTCGCCCTTTTTCAATTAAAAATGGAGCCGTTAAAATGGCTGCCATTTTGAACCCGAAACCCGCAATAGCTTACTAGGATTGTTGTGATAAACTTCTTTTCGACATTCTTTAGCACTGTCTTGTTCGAGTTGTTGGTAAATGAGCTAACGTTGACAAACATTTGGAACACCCATATTTAGACGAAAATTCACCTCCTGCTTAGTCAAAGAATCGAAGTTGTTGTGGTCCAGAATTGGATGACCTTAGGAATACGTCAACCTAAAAGTAACAGCGACCACAACTGTAACAATCGAAAGGCCATTATGGTAAATATCGAACAAACAAGGAATGAAAGCGAGCTGCCATCAACGTTATGGCATCATTTAAAGCAGAAAATCAATCACTAGTACCTTTATTCAGAGCTCTACATCGTGGATTCATCTATTTGCCATAACGTGCAGTTCTACTGCATTACATCATTCCTTCAATTTTAAGCCATAAGAGTGCTGATATGAGCAAAACTCTGAACCTTAAGTGGGATTCGAATCCGCGGTTACATTTGTCGAGGCCCACATGCTATCTGTTGGGACGGCTCGTTGATATAGAAATACCAAGTAGTTAAGAGGATTCGGTCAGAATTAGCTGCCCACTTTTGTGGACGCCACGCGGGACTTCTTGTAAATAGCAGTCACAATGACGGAAACCTCAAACTTGGGTGATTAAACCGTTTGTCGAAACTATACAACAATTATACCATAACAATACAACTGTACAATTAATGGAACAATGATACATGTATTGAATAGGCACAGCCTGATCACTGGTGTTCAGGTTGCTTATGAGTGAAGACATTGGCATATGACGTCTACTACATGAGATCTATGTGAGGAAAGGATATGTTGATTTGGGCAGTATTGCTGTGACATGAACTAGCCAGACGTGGAGCCGTTTATATACGTTTTGGGCTGGGCGGAGTCAGGTTACAGTAGGTGGAGACAGGTTACAGTATGCAGAAGGGCGGGTGCTGGAAACATTTCTCAAGTGCTGCAATCTGATAAGGCGATAGTCAAAGCATAGGACTGTAACTGCAGATGTTTTTCATGAGATAATCGCCAACGAAATGTTAGACATATGGTTATCGGATCCTCATATGGTCATCGGAAGTAGATTCGAAATGTTTGACATTAGGCTATACATAGAAAACATTCCAATGTTCGTGAAGAATGTTCTCTATACTATCCACGACGACAGCCTTTCGGCCTTTGCTTGGCATTTCTCTCAGCCAGTTTTTTTAGTCTAACGGTGATATCAGCAACCATCTACCCACGGAAACGATCTGAGAGCCCAAAATTGGCATGGAACCTGGTTAAGCTGAAGCTGGAGTTGAAATCACCACGTTTTAACTTTTTTTCAATTTCCTGTTTTAACCGCAGTTTTTACTTTCGATTTCGACTTTCCCACAACTTCGCGAATGATAGAGTGTAATGGACGGAACAGGAAGCTCTCGATATTGATCATTCCCTGAGGATACCCGACGCGTACGACTTCATTAAACATCGTTCGGGGGTGACTGAATGCATATCTGGCTCATACAATGACTCGTGGTGGCTACCTCTACCTTGTCAGTGCTACTATCCTTCCAAACTCCGGATAGGTGGCACCCACTCGCTGTTGATTCTTCAGGCGTTAAGTAAACATGTTTGCGTGGTCGTTTACGTGTTTACATGATAGAGGAGCCGTCTATACCTAGTCCATGGACGAAATCTGCTGTAGTATTGCAAAAGAATGAGGAAAATACTGTTTTGAATAGCTTTCGTAGGTCATCAAAAGAAATACTTCCGGATGACGCTATCAAGCTCAACTACTCACCCTTTTCTATTCATCAACGGAACCACATTATTCTTTCTCATTTTCTAGTTAACTGCCTTCAAAACGATCACCTGCGAAAGGGGTAGGAATATTTATTTTGGTTTCTGCATCGTCGGCAACGTCTTCATCATCACGATTGATGAGAAATCAGCTGAATAGAGTCCCACAATCTTCATCCGCTGACGCGATTTCACTAAAATTTCAACTCTTAAACAATAGCTAACAGCGTACCACATTGTTAAAAAGAAGATAATGCGATGAAGCAGTACGAAAGCTGATGCACCTTTCCATTGTACCAGATTCTGATTCCCGCTTTCCTGCTCTTTTTTGGGTATTCAAATGTTATTCGTTCATTGTTTCTTCCCACAAACCAGCGCACTGGTGGACCTTGGCTACCGAAAGCGCATAACATAACAAAAGACTTTAAAAATAACAAAATTTTTGAATCTATGGCTGCAGACTTATCGAATAGTATCTCGAGATCTTTGTTTTGCTTTGAACTTACTGCTCTCACACTCATGCTCATCACATCACTCAACTGCTCACCTTCCCATTCCTTTTCTAGAGATTGTTGGACACTGACATCAAGAAAAAATCGAAATGTGACGCCATGTAAATTAACCAGAAATGCGCATCAAACATCATACATTAACTTCCCAAAAGGTCATCGAACCGTGCCAGATTCCGTAAGATTTCAATTTCTGACCAATAATTAGCAATTCAGTCCCATTTCATTCATATATACATATATATATATATACATATATATATGCGTATCTATGTACATATGTATACATATGCACATTTGTATATATGTATATATGTGCATATATATGTATAAATGTATATATATGTATATATGTGCACATGTGCATATATATATATATATATATATATATATATATATATATATATAAAACACAAGTATTTGACGTTACACTTGCTGGTTCTCTTGCGTGCAAGATTGCGATGCTATTTGGTCACGGGTGTCAAAAAACAAGTTTCGGTGGTTATGAGCTTTAACTGAATATGGTCTTGACAAGGTGGTACGTAAACACTTCTACAATATGTATTTTTTCGTTAGTAAGCTGGCAGAAGGTTGATGAAGAAAGATTTAATTCGGCTAAAGTTACTGGTCGAATGAAGTTCTTTCTTAATAAACTTCGTTTTGCTTATTGATGAAAGAGTATATGTTGACTAGTCATATGGAGGTTAAGGGAAAGTCGGTTTTTAAAAGAGTATTTTCCAACAAACCATATAAGAGAGGGAAGGAAGCCTATGTGAAATCTCACCAATTTACGAAGCTATTGATTACTCTATCCTCTATAATCGCTACGATAAATAACGGTTATTGGGTAGAATGAGCAGATTTATAGTGGCATTAATCCCCATAGAATTGCAATGCAAGGCGTTATCCTAAGTGCAAGCCCATGCCTAAGCCTGAGCCGAAGCTTAAACTTAATCTAAATCTAGGTCAACTTCACACATCCAGGGAGCGATCGAAAGATTCGTAATTAAATCTGAATGCATATACAGAAAGTTAATTTTAAGTCGAAATAGAAGAAGTTCATTTCATCAAGCCACCGACATCTCATCTCAGGTTCAAGATAGTTTTTGGTGCACATTCAACCCACTGGGAGGTGAGGAAAGTAGCATCGCTATTAGCAGGCTGTGGACCACTCAAAAGGCGAGTCTGCGGATCTTTTGTTGCTTTTCTGTTTGCTGTTGCTCACATCACGCTTAACGGGTGCAATAGGTCACAGTTGAATCAGTACCATTTCGTCTATTGCTTGCCAAAACTCTATTCTGTTAAATGAGATGTGTTGAGAAAAAGGACGATTTGAATGCTTTATTCTCCTTCACTCTATTTTTTCGTGATTCTATACTTTTTCCAAGTTCTCTTATACTCGGCGTACCTCCTTCGTGCTTCTTCGCTGTACCGACCTGAACATGGATCCACATTTTATGTCACAAAGTGGTGTACTCTTTTTGTCATTTTAAATATACAGTGAATGTCCCACCGTAGCGATCATTTCTCTTAGAGGTGTCGACGCGACAATGCGCAGCCATAGGCATATTTTGTAGTATCTGAAAGAGATTGGATTATGTGAGCTGATTCTTATTCTGAGAACAAAGATGAAATTCATATAAGGAAACTGTGTCACCTATAAAGGAATTCATGAAGAAAAACCCAGGAACTCTCCTGATTAATTCTATAATTATAATAACTTTAGCAAAAAGTTCTAGTATCATCAAGAAATCTTTCATTGATGTGTACGATGATGAACACGTAGTAATTAATCGCCTTTACTAACGAAAAATGAGTGATCTGTTCTACGTGAGGAACCCAGAAATGGTTTTCTGCCCGGTACATGGTGCGCCTCCTCGTGATGCTTAGGAAAATAGAACCCAAATGTACCCTGCGCTGTCTGTCCTCTATTGGATTGACTGCCACTCTTTAAATACAATAATGTTTTTATACAATCTTCCACATAATCAGTCATATTGAAGCGTACTACGGCGTGCGTATAAACTTAATATCGTATGAAGATTTTCCCAAATCCTTGAAACGAACGAAATTGGAAGGATGTGGAAGATGGGTCTGTGCCGCCTCCAAGAATTAAATCCTAATTCTGATTCGGGACGATCCAGCAATCAATTTCTGATGAATCGAAGCTTCTAGTGCAGGGCTTTGTGGCCACCTATGGGTACTATGTCATAAAGAACAACGAAAGTGAATAACCAAATAGAGAAAATGTGATGGTCTTTGTGTCGCTTGAAGAAGTGGAGAACAATGTGTAGTACTATCCACAATGGGAATGAATGGTGGAGAGCACTCGATTCATCTGATTAATACTGATTATAAGAAATTAGATACGAAAAGACGTGAGCTGTTAAGTTTAAAGAGACGTTTTTTATAGTTCGCAGAATTATTCGAGAAACCGTAGCGCTTAAAGCTGTAAATAAAGCACGAAATAATTCCGGCATTCTGGTAGATTTGAAAGCGAGTAACCGGAAACTTGGTTATTCCATTGATTGGAAACTTGTAACATGTACAAGAAGCTTCTGGGTTTTTTGTTGTGCAAACACAAAAATACGGAAATCTTTAAGATGTTAGTTTAAATCTGAAAGATGCATCTTTGGTACTAAGCACTCGTGAGAAAAACACCACGTAACGCCTGCGTTTCAACGCCGAGTTTAAACAAAGGATGTCGACCGAGATTGGAGCTCTCAATACCAAACTAACTTGGTTTGAAGCACTTATTTCTGGTTGTAAATAAAATGTTTTAGAAAACTGTTTTAGGTGTATTACAAACTTAAAACCTTACTAAATAATCAGCTGTGTCACCAGTCGTCTTGTTGAATGTTGAGTTACTTGAGATGGCGCCAGTAAATCCTCCATTCCTAACTGTAGCGTGCAAGAATAGGGTATTGGTTCCGCTGGCTGTGAAGACTCTTTGAGCACCACATCTTTTTTCAAGGGTTTTCGTGAAGAACTCTGACCACCAACTCTGACCACCTGACCTGGGCGGTGGTCTTCCTGCAGCACTTTTGACTTCCGAGGAATTCAGTCGATTACGACTCTTGTCCTTCGGCTGTCGTTCATACGCATTAGGTGTCCAGGTATCCTATTCTCGACAATTTGGCGTGTAGAGCGGTGTCTTTGATTTTCGATGGTTGACGTAGACTAGAAGGGGCGGATAGCACAGTAGTAATGATGTCGGTTATCATGAGCATGGTGCTAGTTCGATTCTGCTCCGGGCCATCCAAACCTCTCATCCAGGATCGTTAAATTGGTACCCAACTTGCCCGATAAAAATCCATTTTCTGCAATACAAATAGAAACGTTTCAGCCCGGTTATCTCACGACTCCAGGGAGAACTGCTCGACCGGAAGTGAATCGAATGTGGGAAGTGCTTGGATTTGCGCAGTAGACATGAAGACGGGTCATATAAAATGAAATAAAAAAAGATAAAAAACGTAGATCGGAGCTCTGGATTTTTTTTCTCAATTTTGTGGTACTGAGTACTCCTAGCATCATCTTTTCGACTGCGTGTTCAAAAACGTTGAGCGGCCTTTCAACCTGTTTACATAGCGGCGAGGTTTCTGTCGCATACGTTGGGGCAGGAGGAATCGTGAAGGTGAAAAGATGGGCACGGAGTAGGGTGTTCTTTGTTCTTTTCACTACATCCTCGATGCTCTTTAAAGCTCTAAAAGCCACATGATTCCTCCTGTTTGATTCTGAGCTAAGTCATTCGTCATATTGACTTAGCGGCCTAGATAGTCGTAGCTGAAGCGTTCGGAGACATTCGTACCATTGATCGTAAATGGGCAGAAGAAACCAGTGTTTTAATTATGAACATCGTTTCTGCGTGATTTATTTGACCACAAACCTTTCCACAGGCTTTAGCCTTATCTAAGTCGGCAAGCATACTTTCCGCCTGATTAATGCTTGGTGTTATAAGAACGACGTCATCATCACAATGAAAATGGTATAAGTAGCGATCATCGACTTTCACTCCCATACTGTACTATCCCAATGTTCTCGAGGGTAATGGTGAATAATTTTTATACACCGAGTAAAGGCTTCCTGCGTGTGCAGCGTTTACACGACCGTTTCTATCTCAACTGAGTCAAGAACTCCTTAAATCGATGAAAGTGGAACAGAGCGGTCTCCTGTACTCTTGCGATACCTCAACGAGTCTTATTACAGTGTAGACGTGGTCCATCGTAGTAAACTTCTTTACGGAACCTTGCTTCCTCACAGGACTGCTCTTCGTTCCAATGTTCTGTCAATCTAGTCTAGTGAAAAGTGAAAGTATTAAAAAAAAAAAAAGTGAAGTAGTAAAAGTATTGACTCCAGTGAAAAGTCTGTAGACGACAGACAGCAAGCAGATTGAGCCATAGTTACCGATATTGTGGCGCTCGCACTTCTTAAACAATGACACAGTCGTACTGGTCTTCCTTTGAATATGAAAGTTACATTCTGACAGTTAACGTGTGAACAGCCGGGCGAACCCGTGTGTTAATACGGGAGGGTTAGCTGCCTAGATAATATCGGGTTCGGACAAGGGATATTCGATTCTTCACAAACGAAATAGCGTGTTGTATATCGGAAGGAGGACTGGATGAGAAAACAAATCCATAGCCCTTTATTTCGCATAAAGGCATGAGGATGTCGCTGTTGAAGAGAACTGAGTAGTTATCTTGAATGATTTTCTCTATTGCTCTTCTGGAAGCTGCAACTGTTCCGTCTAGGCGTTAGAGTTTTATCTTGGTTTCATAACTGGCAAGGTTTCGGTGAGCTTTAGTTTTTGCTTTCACTTTTTCCAGCCTTTGCAGTTTGGGCCATAGCTACTGCTCTTCTCTCTTTAAAATCCTCTTTCATTGTCTGTCTGCATTGTTTTGCAATTTCGGACGTCAGTTGGTGGTGACCTGTGGCTCGTGCGATTCCACGTTGGCTTATTAGCGTAAGTGTTTATGGGGACAGACGTCTTCTTGGTGACTTTCGAACTCCCAGTTGTCACAGCGCTAGCGTGAAGATGATGAGTTAACGGATAGGATTCCGCATCGAGGCCACTAATAACGGCATTTTACCAACAAACAAGTAATGATCCAAGTAAATCCTAGTTGTCGGTTGATCTGAGACACCATTTTCTGAATACAGTGGCTTCTCCTACTTTCCACGAGAAATGAAGTCATGCAGGAGGAATGCGATTGTCTGATCTCGCGTAGAATTTGCAAACAACAGCGACATGGGTTAGTCGAAACCTTCGATTTACTGTCATGTGATCTATTCCCACGGATCTCCCTCAAATGAGGGATCTCGAGCCGGTTAGTCGCGAGGCTACGTGGCGCGTCCCCAGGTGGCGGAAAGGGGATAATCGCGGAACAAAAGCGACATTTGCTTCCCTGAGACGCAAGTGTATCCAGGGGATGGACCCCTGTTTCTGCTACGCCGATTTGGCACATACTTTCTGTATTTGTAAGGCATATTCATGCATGCGTGTGTGGGTGCGTTCTCGCTTATGCGGATTGTATTCTACGAGTCAATTCGGCCAAAAGCCTGCAATCAACTGTCAGGGAAGTATGTGGGAGGAGGTTATTAGTCGTCTTCAACTAATATGCTCCATGTCCACTCTGGAAGAGCCTGGCAAGGCACTCGTGAGCATAGCCAGCCCCACGTTCAGAGCCCAGCAAGCTATACATGGGTATCAAAATGCTACAGTAACAGTAAAAAGACGGGCGTCATTCTCCTGACCCCGAAAGAGCCCCCAATTTCGCAGCGTTGGGTAGGACGAGTACGGAGAGGCTGCTAAAATCTCAAGGCCAATGAAAGCTGCCTGGATTTCAAAGAACTATAGTGACGATCTATACCTACAATGTACGTACACTTGCATCCGAGTCCTCGATAGAAGACTTGCTCAAGCAAGCAAGAAGGATAAGGTACGACGTCACTGAGCTGGCCGAGACGAGAAGACGCTAGCCTTTCAACGCCGCCTGTGACCCCGGAGAAGAACTGTTCCTCGAAACATGCGACAGTAGAGGAGTCGGCGACGTCGGCGTTCTCGTCAACACGAGTTTGTCCATAAACATCGGTTCATTCGAACAACTTACAACCTGAATCGGACGTTTACGATTAAAAAGACGTCGGTCAATTCCGGCTTTGACAATCTTCGTTGTTTACGCGCCTACATTAAACTATGAGGAAGAAGAAGTCGAATCTATATGGACTTGGAGAAGTTGTAGAGAAAAGACCACACATTCTTCAAGGTCATCATTGGAGATTTCAACGCCAAGATTGGACCAAGAAGAACGTCACATTGGGACCCATGGATTAAAATAGACCAAACAGAGGGAGCGGCTATCTGAGTTTATCATGGCGACCAAGACAATCCATGGTAACTCGCAATACCAGAAGCCCCACACTAAGCGCTGGACGTGGGAGTCTTCCAGTGGAGAGTACCACAACGAGATATACCACATCATAATAAACCAAAGGTTTTGCCTAGCCAATGTAGCTGTTGTCTCCAAATTCTACACAGGATCAGTTCATAGTCTCCTTCGTGAAAGATTCTATTCTAAATTCATAAACCGAGGTTCTAGAATCACCATAACCTGGGACTGTTTCAATTCAATAGTCGGCCGTTAGAAAGATGCCGTTGTCGATAAGATTGACGAGAAATACGATCGGCTCATTCAACATCTTCACGTTAGCGCCATGAAAGCTGGGAGTTCGTAAGTCACCATGAGAATCACCAAGAGTCTGTCTCCAGAATCACTCGAGCTGATACGCCAACGTGGAAACGCACGAGCTGCAGGCAACCGCGAACTAACGTTCGAACTTGCAAAACAATGCAGACAGGCTATGAAAGAAGATCTTAAAGAGGGAAGAGCAGCAGTAATGGTCCACGCTGCAGAGACTGGGTAAAGCATTCGCGAAGCCCACAGAAGCTTCGCCAATTACAAGACCAAGATCATTGCACTCCGACGCCCAGATGGAAGGTTACATCGTCCAGGAAGGCAATGGAGAAAATCATTCATGAATACTTCTCAGATCTGTTCGACAGCCACGTCCACCTCCCGTCATATGAAACAAAGAAGGATGGTACCACCACTTCTCCCTTCCGAAATCCCACATGCCATTTCGTCGGTTAAAAATCGAACAGTACCAAGTCCGGACAGGATAAGACTAGAACACCTGAAGAACATTCCACCAGTCCTCGTAAACGCATTGGCTCGGCTCTTCACATGTTACGTGACTGAATGCAAGGTCCCTAATCAGTCGAACACTAGCAGGACCGTGTTATTGTTCAAGAAGGGTGACCTACACGATATAGGCAGCTATCGCCCAATCTACTCGCTGTCTGTCGTCTACAAATTTTTCACTCGAGTCATCCTAAACAGTATTGACAGAACACTGGACGAAGGACAGCCATGTGAGCAAGAAGGGTTTCGAAAAGGATTCAGTACGATAGACCACATCCACACGATAACGTGTTCACTGAAGTATCGCAAGAGTACAAACGACCGCTCTGTCTGACTTCCATCGTTTTACAGGCTTTTGATTCAGTTGAAATAGAAGCAGTCTTGGAAGCCCTTGATAGTCAAGGAGTCTCTACTCAGTACATAAAGATTTTTCGCGATCTGTACAAAAGTTTGGCAACCAAAATATCATCTACAACGATATTAACGTTGATGTCAAAAGAGGAGTTAGGCAAGGTCATCTGGCCAAAATTATTTACCGCCGCCCTCCAAAGCGTCATGCGAACATTGGAATGGGATAATATGGGAGTAAAAATCGATGGTCGGCAGTTACACCATCTTTGCTTTGCTGATGACATCGTCCTTATAAATCAAACATTAACCAAACTTACCGACTTTGATAAAGCCTGTGGAGAGATTGTCTTCGACTAAATCTCACAAAAACGATGTTCATGAGGAAGGGGTTGGTTTCGTATGCCCCATTCATGCTGAACGGAAGCAATATCTCCGAATGCTCCAGTTATGTATGTTTAGGTGGGGAAATCAACATGTTGAACGACTTAGCTCCAGAGTTGAGCAGAAGGAAACCAGCGGCTTGGAAAACTTTCAAGAGCATCGAGGATGTAGTGAAGAGAACAGAGAACACCCGACTTTGTTCCCACCTTTTCGACACATCGGTCCTTCCTGTACTAACGTATGCGTCAGAGACTTGGTCGATGCGTAAGCTGTATGAAAGATCACTCAGCCTTATTGAACGCGCATTCGAAAGGGCGATGTTAGGAGTATCCCGTTTTACACAAGTAAGGGAAAGAATCCGAAGATCCGACCTGCGTCAACGATCAAAAATCAAACATGCCGTTCTATACACCAAGCAGTCGAAGATAAGATGGGCCGGACACGTAATACATGTGAATGACAACCGATGGACAAGAGCCGTTAGTGACTGGATTCCTCGGAATGTCAAATGTGCTGCAAGAAGAGCACCGACTCGATGGTCAGAGTTCTCCACAAAGAGCCTCGATGAAAGCTATGATGCTCGACGAGTCCCTGTAGCGAGCTAAACGCACTGGGCTACCCGTGCGCGCGACAAGGAAAAATGCAGTTTGCTGGCACCCACCCGAGTCACTCGACGATTAACGGACTACAGGTCATAGAGGTGATACAGGTGGTCTCTTCCGTTGTGGTACTCTCCAGTGGGATACCCCCACGTTTATCGTTGAGGGCGGGGCTTCTGGAATTGCGAGTTATCATGAATGGTATTCTTCGCCGTAATTTTCTCAGATAGCCGCTCATCCAATTCATTGCATTCTAGTCCATGGGTCCCATTATGACGTTCCTCAGATCTTCTTCTGGGTCCAATTTTTGAGTTAAAATGTCTAGTCATAACCTTAAAGAATGTATGGCCTTTACTGTAGAACTTCCCCAGATTCATGTAGAACGGTTCAGGAACGTCCTCTTCATAATTTGATGTCAGTGCGCAAACGACGAAGATTGCCAGAGCCTGCATTGACCCACATCTCTTCAATCGTAAACGCTCGATTTAAGCTGTTCGAATAGATCAATGTTCATTAGGGTATTCTTCTAGACGAGAACATCGACGCCACGAATTCTTCTATTGTTCGCTCGCATGATCTGAAGAAAAGTTCTTCTTCGCTGTCACAGACAGCGTTGAGTGGGTGCCGGCTTCTTGTCTCAGCTAGTTAGGTAACGTCGTTTCTTACCACTTTTGTCTACATAGTCCAGTCTTCTATTGAGGACTCAAATTCAAGTAAGTGTCCCTTGTATGTACAGATGGAAACTCTATCCTTTTGCAATTTAGGCAGCCCAGAACGAACCTGAGATTTTAGCAGCCTCTCCTCACTTATCCTATACAACGCTGACACATCGGTGGCTCTTATGGAGTCAATGTAATGAGGCCTAATTATTTTGCTGCGATGAGCGTTTGATACCCACGCATAGAATACTGAGCGCTAAACATGGGAGCTGGGTATACTCAGGCGTAGCTTGCCATTCTCTACCAAGCAAAATCGGAGCTTGTTTGTTGGAGGAGACTTCTAGCCGCTGCCTCTCTTATAGTTATAGTCCTGTCACTTGATTGCAGGCCTTTGGCCTAAGTGACTCATAGAATACAATCCACACAAGTGAGAACACGCATGCATGAATAAGTACCTATAAACCCAGGAAGTGTATAACAAATCGGGGCAGCAAAAACGGGGAATCCATTGCCTGGTTGCACATGCATCTCAGGGAGGCATGGTCGCTTCTGGTCCACGATTAACCCCCTATCCACCTCCTGACTGCGCCCCACGTTGCATCGCCAGTAGTCTACACGACATCCGTGTGTGAAAGAGAAACGTGAATATATGAATAATGCTATTAAAATGTTATACCTTTTTATTTTCTGCCTACTATAATTTCGCGGCAGGGTACTAAGCGAAATACAACCACAACGTTGCTGAGATATTTGCAAAACTCTGGACCGCAGGTGTCTCCGCTGACGGGTGATTGCTGTGGCAAAGATCGATAGAAATAGCTGAGAGACAGGCGAAACAAAGGACCCGCATGGTGTGGTGGTGAACGCGTTACTCACCGGAAAGGACAATAGCGCGTTCGTTCCCCACCATAGACACCTGCGGTCCAGAGTTTTGCAAATAATGCTATTAAAATTTAACTTCGTTTGAGCTCAAGTTCACTGCAATCAGTGGATGGGATAATGCTAACGAAGTTACCTTAGAAGTAAAACCTCGTGCTGTAGACTTTTCCCCAATTTTTGTGGAGGGGAATCTTTAGTTATCCTCTTTCTCTCACGTTGAATAAAGTCAGGTTGAGAATGAGATCTCATATGGAACATGCTCGTCGAAACGTACCGGTCGCTGAATTTCAACTGCTCTTGCGTAATCATCAATCTGAAGAGGATCAAGACGTATCGAAAGTAGAGAATCCGGCGACGGTAGGAATTTCACTTCCTCGAAGATAACCAGCTCTGGCGAAGCCGATCTCGATGATAGTAGTGTTATCAAACGGTGATAGGAACCTAAACACTTCGTTATTTGGGAAAACCCATCGTCCTTTTTTGCAAAAATGAAGTGTTTTTTTTCATACTATTGTGCTCCCGGGGGGTGACCAACTCACTTATGGTATCTGTGAGAGTTGCACCTACTATTAAGTTTACTTTAATTGAACACTTGTCTTATTTTACTAATTAGAAGTTCAGTAGCTAGCATGTTGTAGAAACACGTTGATTTCAATTGCCATTGTCTGGTTAATACTTAGATTACACTGTCTAAATCCGTCTCGCCTGGTTTGTCCAATTTCTCTCGTATCCATTTAAAGCTTACTTTTTTTTGGTCACCGTTGCTATGAGTTCATATTTAATTCATACTGGCCGACTTTCATTCCCACTCTAAGCACTGACCTCACTGTTGTGATGTACACTTGCGCTTCAGTTCAGTTCTTCCACGTTTTCTCTGCGCCCATTTCACAAAAATCATGTTCCATCATAGTGATAGGAAGTAAAGTGATAACCAGTTACTGCTCAATACTGACTTTCATTTGCTTAATACATTAAAGACAATAATGCTTTTTCGACAACACTCCGTGGCCTTACAGCTTTCGCTATTTTACATACGATAGTTATGGTGAAGCTGAATATAAAATGCTGCAACCTATAAAGTGTGCTCAATGATTTATCGTCTTGTCCTAGAAAACTGGTGTTCATAGGGGTCGAACATCACTGTCGAAGTAGGCACATCTCTGTGCCCTTCTGAACGGCGACAATCTTTGCGGCAGAAATTCTGCTCACCAGCAGCACTTTCTCATTGAAGAAATAGCCTCGTCTGAGGTTTTGTGTAAACTACTAAGCATAGAAGAGAGTTTAGGGTGCAGAATATCTTTTCATGCCCTTGTTGGACGAGCTAGCGATTAACGTGAGAAGTATATTAAAAAGTCTTTAGACGGAAAATAAACAACAGCAATGTAGACGGGTTGTATTAGCAGCTCACTTTACTCGATCTGCCTCCATATATCTGTAGAAATGCACTCAAATCGAGCTCCTAATGTTAGGCATCGCTAGAACTCATGTGGAGGGTCATGCAGCGTATTTTTAACACTGACGTTTCTACTCCAAATGTTTGCTTGCATAGATACACGTACATTTCAGCCGTATCTACGAGTTGCGTGGGCTTAGGAATATTTTTATTCGTTTAGAACTTTTGAGTTCGGTGTCCTATGTTATCCGTGGCGGTCTGCTTCAGCTTGATAACGTATGCAAGCAGTATTTCGTTTTCCAAAAATTTTTCAGGAATCCCACGAGCCAAGCTCGGCTTTTCAAATACTACAGTATGAAGATTTGGAATTCGAAACATGTGTTCGACCATAATTTGGAGACCGTGTTTACAGCAGCATGGAGGGAATATCCGAACTCTATGAACCAGGGAGTCACAGGCATAGATGTGCTGCGACAAACGCTGTATGCTGGAAAGATCATGTCGGAGAGGTTCATTCAGTCATATTTTCACATTCCGTCATGGGTGACGAAGCTGACTGGATTTTCTGTGACTCAATACTCACGCAAGTACACTGTCATCGATCCTTCAAGAACTACGTCACTCACCACAAACTGTTTACAGCTGCGAATAGGGGTAGCTGAGCAAGCCAGAAACACGTTTGTGCATTCTGTAGATGGTTGTCGTAGAGTACGCTCATATCATCTTCTAATCAATTTCACTGTTCTTTTCGTCTACCTGTGGTCAGCGCTTTTCCTCACATGAATGAATTATTTGATCAATGCCGAGGTTCTTGGAAGGTTTGTCTTGGAAATTTCCACATTTTCTTCCTAAAAACTCGGATATTCGAAATCCTGGATGCTGTATTGAAGAAGCCTTATCAAAGCTCTTGTACAAGGACAATATTTGCAAAGCGATTGCAGAGAGCACTCGAAAATACGTACTTTAACAATAGTTGCAAATATTGCCCCGTTCATCTTTAAATGGATGACGGAGCGCAACTGGTCCACTAATCTAATATCTTGTTGAGCAGACTCGACGAGGTTGGTATAAGTTGCCGTTTTTGTTGTTGTTGGTCGATGGCTGACGTTTCGGCGATTACGCCTTTCTCAGAACCGTGCTGCTACGAGTGGGAATCCCTGGTGACGTGAGAAAGGCGAAATCACTGAAACATCAGCCATTGTCCATCAACAACGAAGGAGATGATCTAAGATCGCTTGCTTAGGAGAGCGTGTATATTGGTTACAAATAATGAGCATGCTTTGCTTCCTGCCACCCATGTGAACTTGGTGCTCCTGCAACGACCTTTTTCTACCTAGTTACATGATGTGTAAGGAGACCTGCAGCCGAAATTCAGTTTTCTAACCTTTCGATTGGTAGTGAGTGATACGGGTATGATCGAAACTTCTTCACTGAAGAAATCAAGCTTATTGAGCATAAGTTTCGACTACTTCGGTAAAGACTTTGTTCTGCTCAGTGGAGTTAATCTTACTGTTCATTAGAAAGAGGGTTTGTCCAAGAAGTTCTCGTTATGCATGATTTGATTTTTCCTTATGACGAGATGAGAGGAGTCTTTTTCATACTAGGTCAAATCGAACGTCCTCATTAAGAGTGAAGTGACGGGATTTGTCAGAAAATGATGGCATTATAGAACGCACAAAGCGCCACTGTCTTATACTTTTGAGGAGTGATCGACTCTGCATGTAAGGTTCCATAGTTTTGATTTTATTTCACATGACCCGTCACCACTTCTAAGGTGCGGATCTCAACACTTCGTGCGTTTTTTTCGTTTTGATTCGTTTTTCTCGCATTCATCGTCCACAAAGTTCTTCGGATGTTTCGCGCGTTGTTTCGGCGGCTGCTTGAGAATTTTGTTTTCTTTATGAATGTCGTAGAATGCTGATCGAGTCGATTCTCCCTGCAGTTTTAGAGATAACCGGCCAAGATGTCCTCTCGTGGATTGGACGACAGCGCTGGGAGAAGTGCTGAACGAGAAACTTCTTGATGGACTGCATCAATAAACACTTCCCTACTCCTCTCGCATGGTTTCACTGCGTGCTCGCACATCCAACATGGCTGTCATTTCTCTGGAAAAATATAGAGGAGAGTTTTTGACAGAAGTCGAGACGCATCTGATCCCTTTGTGCTCAACTCAGTCTCCTGCTCCAGATTTCTCCATCCTCTGTTAACTTCCATTCACATTTTGTGCACTGGTGCTGAAGTTTCCCAGAAAATCCACACAAACCGACTTTGTCACCAGTTCTTTCGAAAATTAGTGCATAGGTTGCGAGTTTGGTTTTCTTACATATGTTTTAGCAAGTTGTTTTTCGATACTTTGCTGTGCTGTTATATAGCACTACAAAGCTCACTCTGTTCACTTTTGCTCCATATCGTCGCATTCCAAGAAAATTGTGTTCTTGATTAATTTTAAAACTTGGGATTTTAGAGGTAGTAAAAGGAATTTCGTTATATCCACTTTTACGGATTTTAACTTGGACGTAGCGGCGCAAACGGCTCCAAATATTATCGAGGCATTGGACTAAGAAAGCGTTAGCGAATTTTTGTCTCAGAAATTTTGTCGTGGGGAATTCGACGTAGAGTATACGAAAGGTTGCCGACGTTCCTCTGCTATCGACGACGATGAATTGAAGATCTTTGCTGGAGGCAAATATACTCATAAATGCTCGAAAACTTGCACAAGAACTCGGCGGAAGCATCAGAACTGTTTCAGAATATCTAAGGAAAACTGGGAGATCCAGAAAGGCCGACAAGTGGATTCTGTGGACGACAATTGAAAAAGTAGTCATTTTAAGCTAACATAGGCGCTTCTTTTGTGCAATAACAAAGACCTGTTTCTCGACCGCGTTGTGGAGTTCAACGAGAAGTGGATCTTCTGCGAAAACCAGCAGCAAGTGGCTTAGTGGTTAGACCAAACTCCACAGCGGTTTTCAGGGCCACGGTTACACAAAAACGTGGTCATACTGACCATCACCATACTCGCAGAGCCTCCGACCTTCCGACTCTCACTTATTCCATGATTTCGACAATGCCCAAAATGGTTTAAAAAACAAGTCGAGGTCGAAAATGCCTTCAACGACTTTATCGCCTTCAAAAGACCGGGATTATGTTTCATCGTTATAAATACGCTCGTTTCTCGTTAGCAAAAAAGTATGAATTATAATGGTGCTTATTTCGATTAATAATATTACAGGCGAGATTTACTATTTTTTGAAAATGCAGGCTGGAATTATGAACTTCTAAGCAATCCGGTAGCTGTGAACCACTTGTTTTAGGTGATTATAGAATGCTCTAACTCGCTCTCATCAATTGCACTGGTTGGTGAATAGCAGTTGAGAATACTAGTCGTTTTTCGGTGCTGAAGAAACTGGCGATTTGATGGCTATTGATTGATTGATGACCATGCAAATGAATAGGATCTTACATGAGTTAACGTGTTAGATTACCGCTGAATTTATGACAAAGTCTATCCCACCGACATTTAGTTGCAGGGTCTTTTCTTTGAAAATAATGAGAGGCCTGGTTTTTTGGTTGACGTAAGGCTTTGGTAGTAGTCATTTATCTATATAGAAATCGCCTCTTTGAAGAGAACGACTGGTCTGCGGAGTACTGCGGCTGGTTTGTAGCTGTTGTCTCTTTTTTTGTGAAATCCTAAATTGGTCTTGCCACAGCGTTATCAGGAATTTAAACCCTATTCACTCACTCGCATTGTGAATAAAGGGTTTGGCATTTATCGACTATCTATTTAATAGGGCAGTAGTGATTGCTGGTGTTGAATTCTAGTGAGACTTCCAAATAGAAATAAGCAACTTCCCTGTGACCAGTGCTTTCTGGGTCTTGTATGGTGGATTCCCACCTTTATTTAAACTGGTAGTTTTTTGAGCTTAGAGCTAAGTTTGTTAGTCGAAAAAAGACAATTGGAATCTACATATCTTTTTCAACGAGAAACAAGTTCTATTATTCTGATTGCTTAAAATTGAGAACTTCTGAAGGCACGGTAGATGTAGTTTTGGCCTTGGCTTGGCTTTTTGGACGGGAAGATAAAGATATTTGAAGAAGTGGGAACTCTATAGCGAGGTCTGGCGAGTTTCATTGTTATAAATACGTTTACTGGATGAGGAGCGTTTCGTAGGCCAGCTCATTCACCCCTTGCAGCATCCGACGTGCAATGTGTGACCCACGCATTATCGTGGAGAAAGATCGGTTTCTTTCTGTTGATCAATGTGAAACGTAGCCAATGAGGTTTCTGGTGTATTTCGTCATTTGGGTGAAAGTACTTTTCCATCGTAATCGTCTTACGTGAATTCAGCTAGTTGTGAAAGATCAAACCAGTAGGAAACCACCAAACTGTCAGTATGACACTTTTAGTGCAATTTCGGCTTTGTGAAGTGCTGCGGTGCTTCAGCGCGTTACAACCAGAGCGATCCCTCAGATTATCATAGGGAATTAATGTGTCGTCGTACGTCACAATATGCTTGAGAAATGGGTTGTTCTGGATGGACAGAAGAAGCTCCGACGATACCTCAAAACTGCGATTTCTTTGATTGGTATCCAGTTCGAGTGGCTTTCATATGCCGTACCTCTTCAACCTTCGCAACCTTCATATGTTCTTTAGATGCTTTGAAACAGTTGAGATGCTTGTGCCGAGTTCTTGTGCAAGTTATGCAACAGTTGTGTGGATATTTGTTTGCAGGAAAGCCTTCAAATCACTACTAACAGAAAGACGTCCGTGACCTCCTACATCCTCGCTTTCTAACTCGCCACTGTTAAATTTTTGGGACCAATTTTGCACATTGAGTTCGTTAACCCTTCTTTCGCGCCATACCTCGCTAATGTTTCAAGTGGTTTGCGCTCGGTAAGTTCTAGTTTAAAATCGTAGAGGTATGTTTATTGAAATGCCGTTTTCAAGTTAATTTTAACCTTCAAAATTGTGCAAAAAATCGATTTATACTATTAATCAGTTATAGGTAGCAAAAGTGCACAGAAAGAGCTTTGCAATTATACATAGCGGTACAGCACCCGATGGAAAGTCTATCGCAAAAGTGCTAATTTCTTTCATTTACTGTCTGTTGCAATTTTTCACGGCAGGGTATTATGCGTGATACAACCACAATGATGCTAAGATATTTGCAAGACTCTGGATCGCTGGTGTCAGCTGTTGGGAACTAACGCGTTATTACCCTTTCCGAGGCTAACGCGTTCACCGCCACACCATGCGCGCTCTGCGTTTCGCTTTTCTCTCAGCTAGTTTTCAATCGACCAGATAGTTCAAAAACATGCAAAAGATGGGCGAAATTACATATACGACGTTAATTCCCGAATAACACATTAAAGTGCACTACGCAAAATGCTACTATGAATTGCGAAATCCACTGTGAATAATTGCTACCAGCAATACATCGATGTGTCATATACTAGCGCTCAATGAGTTTCAGTTAGCACCACTTTGAGGGTTACTTCAGCTTTGAGAAATTTGATGTTCCCTCAAGCAGGACGTAGGAAGTGTTGCGGCTGTCAGCTGGGCAACGATCGACGATTCGGAATTGGATACGCATAGTACTTTTTATGTTTGTATCCTCTGAATTTTCGTATCATTGCATCATATCCTATGCTTCGCTTGTAAAATTCCCATTTCTTTCCTATTTTGTGTCATTGTAAATGGAAAGAAATCCTGTGTGATTTGTCAGTTCCTTGTCAGGGTCAGGAAGTGCTTGACCACTTAAAGAACGATAGGTGGAGAATTTAAA